ATGTAATACGTTAAAATTATAGACCATGTAATACGTTAAAATTATAGACCAAGTAATACGTTAAAATTATAGACCAAGTAATAGGTTAAAATTATAGACCATGTAATACGTTAAAATTATAGACCAAGTAATACGTTAAAATTATTTTGTATTCTTACCGGTTGTACATTATTTTTTTTTAGATATTTAGTTAAGGATTTTAAGAAACACAGGAGCCACGATATCCTTTCTTGTAATACAGCGTGTCTTGCAAAATTTTAAACGTTTTATATATATTGTTAAATTTATTAAATGAGATCATTATAGAGGTTACAAATATAGTGAAAACCTCAGGCCTATCATAATTTGAATATTTCAGCTATTGATGCCTTTCTTAATTATCGTATTTTTCTTTGCATCAAACTTTTAAATACCACGATTTATCAAAAGTATTCAACTTGTTCTCTCACTTTTTCAATAACTTGGGAGTTAAGAAAGTTTGAAACCGACAACTAAATAACAAAAAAAGAAGTGTTACTAACGTAGAATTTTGCAATACGTTTACCTGTTTCTGACTTTTTTGCTCTAATGTAATGATATTTTGATCTGTGCTTCTAACCTTATATGTTTTAGAGGCGGAAGAACTAGTCCTAAAAAATTTGATCATGTTTGGAAAGAAGGTAAAAACACCCTCTCTTCGAATCAACTGTATATTTAGGCCAGTGAAAGTATGTTAAGCCTAATAAAATTTAAAAATAATAATATATATATAGCCAGTTGAGTGAAATATTTTAACATTCCATGTAGAACTGTAATTTTAAAAAACCTTTTACATAAACTATAATGTGATATTATTTTAAATTAAGATGTTCTAATTAAACATGATACCAGCTGTAGAACAGTGTTGTTAATACTGGGAGAGGTATTATTTGATTGGAGGATAGTGTTGTCAGTGCTATGGGTGGTATTATTTGATTGGAGGACAGTGTTGTTAGTACTATGAGTGGTATTATTTGATTGGAGGACAGTGTTGTCAGTGCTATGAGTGGTATTATTTGATTGGAGGACAGTATTGTCAGTACCATGAGTGGTATTATTTGATTGGAGGACAGTGTTGTCAGTGCTATGAGTGGTATTATTTGATTGGAGGACAGTGTTGTCAGTGCTATGAGTTGTATTATTTGATTGGAGGACAGTGTTGTCAGTGCTATGAGTTGTATTATTTGATTGGAGGACAGTGTTTTCAGTACTATGAATGGTTATATTTTAGTGGTGAAGAGTGTGGTTAACTACTATTATTATCTCATAGAGAACACAAATTATGTTTAAAAAGTAAAATCAGTATACATTCTGTTCTTCAAGTACTTTTACTGTCTATATATATATATATATATATATATATGTAATTTAAAAACTGTATTAAAGTCAGTATTCTTTAACACCATCTTGTATCGGATGTTTTTATTGCCAGTTTTCATTTGATGCACAAGTTCAAAATTAAACTATATTGTCAATATATACGATCATCGATTAGTATTTGTTAAGTAGATGGCGCTTCTACCTGAACTTGTTAACACTGAAATAACAAGACAACTAGCCTGTTTCTTAGCACAAAGCTACATAACAATTTATTTGTGTTCTGTCCACCAGGGGGTATGGAACCCTGAACTTAAACATTGTATGTCCGTAAACTTACCACTCTCCTGCCGGGGGCCGGTTTAACTTGAACCAATAATTTTGTCTGTACTACTGCGTTTCATAGGAAGTTGACCGTTTTGAAATATGAATAGTTTCAGCATAATTAACACAACTAACCCTGTACGTAAACTATATACTTATTAGGCTTAACGGAGTGCGTTTTTTGGAGCTACGTGGTTAGTATAAGATTTAAGTGAACACGTAACCTCTACACTTATTAGGCTTAACGGAGTGCGTTTTGTGGAGCTACGTGGAAAAACGTTGAGTTAAAAATGATATTTATAAAAGTGTAGGAG